GCTGTTGGGAGGTATGCAGCGAGCTGGACGAGATAAAATTCCGAAAACCGAACAATGCGGTCCGCAGACAGCCCAGTGGCAGAGATCGGATGCTAACGGTAAATGGGCATAATACACCAGCGTGGGTGGATTGAAATTATCAATTCTGATGCCTTGTCTCGCATCACCTAGGCCTCATATGATGGACGCAGCAGTTAACGCAACCCATTCCTAGCCCTGAAGTCATTATGATGTGAGTTCAGGTTGTTTAAATTTGGTCAAATTTTACTGCGAATCAGAATATAAACGAAAGGTGTTCGCTACTTAGCATCTTACACTTACCATTAGGCATTATTGGTTATGGTGTAGTCGTGAAAAATATGGCACGCACGTAGTGGCATACTTGACGGATCAAATGTAGTGAGATGGTGCCGAATATCCGGCTTTAATTACTCTTTACACTCTTCGGAAGCAGCTGGATTACCCAAAATTCGCAGGTGGCAGTGAATTTGTCTCAAGTTGTCCATAGAGGTACTTTGATCCTCAAAATACGAATATTGCATCTGTTTGGTGCGAAACGTTTAGCGGTAGCAGCGCAGGCGGACTCAGACCATCACTCGTCAAAATCTTGCCTCTAGGGGTATTTCGATGAGCGGAACACGGATATTACATTTGTTTGTCGAGAAACTTTTGTAATTGGTACCAGAGCTGTCAGCGCCAAATAATGTGATAGCGCCGGCGCCCGTGGCGCGGGCGCCAGACGTTTCCGCGTCAAACCGATCTGATTTCCGTATTCTGATCAAATCACCCAGTTGAGCAACTTTTTGCCGAAATCATCCCATTTACACATTTCGAGAAAATCCAGCTCATTGTCAGTTCCCGAAGAGTGGGGGAGTAAAGTTAGGGTTGATAGTGCCGAATAAAGGAAGATGAACTGGTGCCGAATAACCTTCTCGCTTTCTCGCGCTTCGACCATATCTTTTGTTGATTTTTGCTGTTCATGTGTGTACAAGCAAAATTAGCAAAATGAGCTTTTATCTAATAACTCTGATCACAAA